GCTAAAGATGGTGTGCTGTATTACCGCTAAAGACGGTGTGCTGTATTACCGCTGTGCTGTATTACCGCTAAAGATGGTGTGCTGTATTACCGCTAAAGACGGTGTGCTGTATTACCGCTGTGCTGTATTACCGCTAAAGATGGTGTGCTGTATTACCGCTAAAGACGGTGTGCTGTATTACCGCTGTGCTGTATTACCGCTAAAGATGGTGTGCTGTATTACCGCTAAAGACGGTGTGCTGTATTACCGCTAAAAGATTTCTTACAGGGACTGTTCTCTACACAACGGAGTTAGCTAAAGTTTTCTTTTTTCTTTTCGTGCTCCAACACTTAGGACGCTAAGAGCACCAGTGCTGCAAAGAGAAAATAAATCTCTCTTACAGATCCATCTGTATAAATTACAGTGTAAAATCATAAGGGGTCCAAGCAGGCAAAAAGTCAAAGGAAAAAAACAGGTCTGAAGGAGGACAGAAATCAGAAAAATAAGGTTGCACCAGGGACTATAAATTAAGGGAGCAGGTTTATAAGGGAGTTATGGAGATGATCAGATGGAGCAGACCGAAAAAGATCTGATCATGCCAACAGCACCCAGGATTAACAGCTCAGCCTAGCAAACAGAAGCCACCCGACGACAACGCGACGGATGGTAACGGGCAACGTGAGCTGGCATGGTTCATCCAGTCTAAACCTCGGCTCGAGTCCTGTGACATGAAGCAGTGTGACATCCCAAAGCATTTCCTAAAGTTGGTAATTCCCTAAGTTCTAACGAGGTTAAATTACTCTTGGTGGGAACTATACAGGTCATCTTTTCCAGTCAACAAAAAAAAATAATTAAAAAATACACTTTTATAAACTGTTTCAGAAATTACAGTTGAGTTTTCACAGAGTGCTGCTCCTGTTTATTACTGTTAGTAGTAAAGTAGTGACTAGTGACAGCTAGAGTTCTATTTTGACGATCTAATGCAAAGTGTGATGTGCAAAGCAGGACTAACAGTTATGGGCTTGTACAAATCCATTTTGCTATTTTGATGGCAGAAAAACCAGACTTTGCACCAACGCATGGCACAAAAAGGTTGTCCGAAATCTCAATTATTCAAAGGCGTGTTTTTGGTGTAACAAGCAATAAACCAATCAGAATGGAATGTCACCTCACCATTAAAAGGCAGCAGTGCATGACCTACTGCAGATTGCCATTACAATGACGCATTTGCCCAGCAAGCCAGATCACTTTTCACCTGAGAAAACGAACATGCTCGTGCGTGAGGTGAAAAGGTGTGAAAATGTCACCTATGGGAGCAGCACTGTTGCACCAAAGCCACTGGAAGAGAAGCAGGCGTGGGATGAGATAGCAGCAAGTGTGCCCTCGTTTTCTGGCATCATTAAATCACCCGTGCAGTGCCAAAAGCGCTATAATGATGTCAGAAGAGACATGAAGCTCGCTACGGAACAAGAGCAGCATTTTATTTTAATCTTGGGTCTGCGGTACACAAAATTGTGCAGTTTTTAAGTCATCTTAAAATGTTCAGTTAAAAGGTAATAGGGCTGTTATTCTTCTGCATTTTATAATTTAGATTCCTTACCAGGCTACAGGTGACTCTTCTGCCAACTGATCCCTCCGTACCCGCGCTGCTGCCATTCTCTCCTTTGTTGGCATCGGCACATGCAATTCAGCATCACGCCTTCTAAAGTCCTCTAACGTGTCCAACAGGCATCCATCACGCATGGCAATGTCACGCAACACACAACATGCCACAAAGAATGCCGCGATCGTCTGAGGCCTGCATTATAGTGTTCCACATCACTTATCTAAATATCTAAAACGCATTTGCAGTAATCCAAATGTCCTTTCAATTAAAGTACCTGATTAATTCTGATAATGGACTCAGGTTGGATAAAGGTTTTTTAATGATATGGTTTATGATTACTTAACATATACAGACGCTTCTCTACTTACGAACTTTCAAGTAACCAACTTTCAGACATATGAACAAAGAAGACTGAAAGTCCAAATTGTGTGCCTTGGGCTCCTGTTTCCTGTCCGCAACATAAATTTTTTTTTCTGCACGCCAATTCCGCCTAGTACGACTTCTGGCCGCTACTCCCGTCGCGCAGCAGTGTAGCGTGCGTACTCCCAGCATCCTAGCTCTTTGTACTTGCGTATACCCTTAAAATGATGTTGAATAACGACTTACGAACATTTCAAGTTACGAACGGCCGTTCGGAACGTATCTCATTCGTAAGTAAAGGAGCGTCTGTATTGTTTTTCTTTCGGTGTTTCGTTAAACAGTATGAATACGTGAAAGGACCAAATGTACGTATATAAGTGAAATAAAATAAACAATGAAATACCATTAGTGCAACGTATCTGTATCAATAGCAAGTGCCGTGCACCTGCACATTTCTAAAATGCGCTGCTTATATACCATTTAACAATTAGCCAATGATTTTAGACGTGGTTTTTGTTGTCAAAAGCACAATGACACTGCACTGCCTTAAAATAGCAATGTGCTGATAATGCACCCAGCCACGCCTCATTTAAAAACACATTCATACAAGCAGAACGCGGGCGCAAAATCATTTATTATTTTACCGATGTACGCGCATGGCATGGCATGAAAATGAGCTATGTGCTGGTACGAAATAGCAAAATCATTTTGCGTGAAGCTTTGTACAAGTGGAACATCGAACCCCTGCTGTGTGGCTTGGAGAAATTCAAACACTGATCATGTGGCCTAAACATTCACCTTGGCTGAAGGAAAATGGAGCCGACATACACCAGACACATTTCTGAATTTTAACTCACCAATCTTTTCAATAAATTCAACTTCCAAATATGTTTGTGCTGAACGGCGATGTCAAAACGGAAACATTCTTTCACTGCAAACTGGAAAAGTTAGCTGTGATACTACCAGAAACTGCTGCCTAGTTAATTGTTAATAAGTGATTATGGCTAGACAAGATGCAGCAGCTAAACAGGGTAACATGACAAATGTTAACAGCCCAACTGGAAAATTCAGACAACAGAAGAAAAGTACTGACCTGTCCACCTATACTGTCTTTCAATATTAACTAGTATTTGCTTTAAACCTCCAGTGATTGGTCCAAGCCAGCATTAGCTAAGTAGCTAACATTAGCACAATGGTAGCTAATTAGTCAGCAACCTCGTGACTGTTTCAGTATCGACTCTCGTTCGAGCAGAGAGGAGAGTGTCTGCGAGTCTACAGAGCCCATCTGAACAAATAAATCCAAAATAACAAATACATTTCCCCGCTGTGTATTTTTGTAGTTTAAGGCAACTCGCAGCTTCAGTTTGTTGGGTAATCACGGAAATCTAAAGCTGATGTTTTTCAACTTTGGGCAAATGTTTACACTGAAGAAAATCATTCAATTTTCTTCTTCACACTGTCTGAGAACATTCTGATCTGCCCTAGGGGATAAACAATGTAATTAGAGTGTGCAAACACACACACACACACACACAAAAAACAAGTCTTGGGGTCAAAACACTGTATCCATGTCTAGGCCACACAGACAGGTTACAGACATGATAGAGTACTGGCCTCCCTTTTATCATCATCATGTTAGATATTTCATTATTCATCAAAGAGAGGAGGGAATTGGTCAGAAAAGCTGAGGAATTGTAAAAAAGCACTTTTAACCGTTTTGAACATGGAGGACACCTCGCTACGCAAGTGCATGCGGCTGGGGCTCTACTTACCCGCAGGCTGTATTTCCAGGAGTCACCCCCAGTCTCCTCCACGGCTGCGGGACAGAGAGAGAGAGGCAGGGGTGTTAAAGCGGCCCACTGCCGGAGTGGGACCAGGGCTCGTCGCCCCCACCGCGACGAGGTAAGGCCTCAAATACTTACAGAGCCCAGTAAAAGTGAAGCACTTTAACGGCACCGATTGCCTTTTTGCTGGACGTTTTATTTCCCACCCTCACTACACAAAAGCTTGGCAGTATATCTGGCGACTTCTCTAAAAGGTATCTGCGGCTCTCAGAAGAAATTATGGTCAGAGCAAAAAAAAAAAAACAATTACAGGACACACAGCTGCTGCGACGGGTCTCCCCCCCGCCCCCTAATCTGGAACGTGACCTGGATAACACCAACGCCATAAGAATCCCTTCAGAAATAGCAGCAAAAGAAAGAGACCATTACATACTGATTTAGATACCACTGAACTGCAGAGGGTGAGGCTGCTGTGAATTAGCCATGTGAGGGTGTTTATCGCTCAAATCAAGCAAGTTGAGCATCTGAAGATGAAGCTTGTGGCTAAAAATAATCCAATCATCACTGCACTCCATCACCACGGATCCCACAACACGCCCCCTCAACCCGGCCTCAACCAAGACATGGTGTGCTTGTTGCCATGGTAAAATGCCCATATTAACATCCAATGCAAGTCACTGGTGCGACTCGAACAAGTTTGCCGTACCTCTGGATATTATAGTCACGTAGCTGTACCTTCAAAGTCATCACTTCAGAAAAACAAGCAGATATACTGCACTGTGTGGACAGCGGTCACAGAGTCACCGCTAATGATCGGTGGCCCAGGATTCACACAGGGAGGGATAACTTAACCTGAACGTTACACCATGCGTGTGTCTGACTTGCCTTTATTTTTCCTAAGAGCTCAAGTCAAAGCTCACCTCAGAGGTGTAGTGCTACGCAGCCTCAGCCACTACAACAAGTTTATTCATCGTGGGGTAGACATCGTGTCAGAACCCCACGTCGGGGCTGCAGCCCTGGTCACCATACGCCGTGAGGCGACATCCCGAGCACCAAGGCACAAGCGCTAAAGCGGGTTCGCGTCAGTGTCAATACCAGCCGCACACCGCATCCACTGACCTGATCAAAAAGCAAGTCGGTGTGTCGACTAGAGGGACAATGGAGGCAGAAAATGCAGAGGCATGAGGCCTGCTTTCATTCATCAAGCACGGAGTCACGGTTCAGTGGCCAGCAAGGGGACAAGTGGACTTAGGAGAAGGGGCGGGGCCTCTGCACGCCACACAGCAGCGATAAAACATGATGAGCCCAAGTTTGAAGTACAGTACATACAATGTCGGGTCTCAGGCTCTGCCTCTTCCTGCTTTTTAATCCATTTGTCACTTACAGGCTAGCGAGGGATCCAAGCACGGCAAACTAATGCAGCTATTTCACTGGGAATTTTCCCCACTGGGAAAAGTCAGATTCTCAGCCCTTTGACCTTAGAGCTTGAACATTAAAATGCATTGTTTTAGACCAACAACCCGCATTATGAATTATGCATCATCTGTCCAGTGGGATTTTTTTATAATTATAATTTAATGAATTATTTTTAACGTACCGAAGCTTTCAGGGTCCTCTTCCCACATGGCCAGCTCCTCCTCTGTCAGCAGAAAGTAGTGGGACACCAGCCTCCTGCCGATTTCGGTGAGGGTCGGGTGGGTGAAGAAGGCCATCTTTATCTTGTGAGCTTCCAGGCTCTCCGGCTTGCTGTCTGGAAGACAGACACCTCGTTCTATTGCACGGCTTCATTCCCGGGCGAACAGGCAGCACGCCGATTCAATTTTCTACATTTTATGCTCTTTGCCATTTGGCTGTTCCCTGAAAACAGACTGCTGGGAAATTACAGGACGGACATATGGGTTTAAGCGAAAACTAGGACCCAAAGAGTGGCTCTGGCACACAAATAGACAAAACCCATAAATGTATCTTCAGTTGTCAGTTTTCTAGCAGCTTTCAGCTTTAAGCACAACAATTCTTTTACGGTTCTACTTCTCCTCTAGATGAAAACTGTACAAAGAAATGGGAAGTCACCACATTTACCCAGTATTACAAGATGCATGCACAGTATGGTCAGCTCTACCCTGGGTTGAGACCGTATCAGCATTTGAAAGATGACACGCTTCTATTTACAGGGAGATTCACTCTAATTATCTTGGCAAGAAAGCCAGCCATTCATCATTACTTGAGTACAGAGTAAAAGTGCTCAGAGTAATTAATGCAGTGTCTAGGTGTCGGCCTTATCGCTCAACAACTGGTGCCCGAGAGCGCCTCCCGGTGAGGGCTCCCGGAGGGACGCACCTTCGATGTTTTTGGCCGGCTTGTAGGCATCATTCTTGACAATCATCTTGACAAGGTTCATGCACTGCACGATGAAGCGCTCGAAGACGACGCCCTCCCCGACCTCGGTGAACACGTAGCTGACGGCGAACTCCAAAGAGCGCTGAATGAGTGGGATGAACGGGCACGGATGGTGCTCCAGGAAGTCCAGCAGCTACACATAAACAACAGCAAAAGAGAAAAAGCTAACTGGGAAACACCCGAGACCTCGCCGGCTCAGGTATCAGTTTTACTCTCCTCCTCGCCAACGCTAAATATGAACAAGTATAACAAATATAACCGACAGTGTGCAGGCGGAGGGTGGCTGGAGAGACCATGCACATTAAATGTTCAGAATGCTGAATTCCAAGTGGGGGCAAGATGCTGTACGAAAACACCCCCCCCCCCACCATGAATACAACAGATCCAGAATCAATTTACTAGCATCATGGGGCATGGAAGTATCAGGAGGGAGAGTCAGATGACCAGGGTTTGGTGTACTGATTGATTTCACCTGTCACACCTTATTTCTTCTGATAAATTGTGCACTACTGTGGGGGTCTTTCAGCCCATAGTTCTCTGGAAGAAGCCATGACTCGCATAAGCTGAGATACAGACCCTCCTCCTGCCACTAGGTCTGAATTTTTTTTCTGTTCTCCTTTCAGGCCAGGGGTCACTACCGAACGGCATATTCCCTAAGGTGACCCAAACATAGATCCCATTGCCTTCCTGGCCCCCTGCCACAAGGTTCTGCTCTCCATCATGAGCAGAGCAGACACTCTGGCAGCTCTGCCGGCCGAAATGAACGGCTGGCGCATCGAGAACAGGAGCCAGGTGTGAAATGGGAGAGGTGGCCATTAAAGGAGCAAGACTGTTCTGGAGGGAGTGTCTCAGGTCCCTCAGGGATGGAGGATCTGGGCTTACCACTTTGGTGTAGAGTATGATGGTCTTCTCCAGCTTCTCTCTGCAGGCGCTGCTTGGACCCACTCGCCTGCCTGAGGGTGAAGCAGGAGCCGGCGCACGAGTGTCAAAAACAGCACCATTATACAGAACTTTCCGGACCTCACATTCAAGTGCAGCACTTAAAGGTGAAGAGAGCGCAACAGTGCGCCGGAGACACTCCAGTACCTAATTTACAAAGCTTAGCATTCACCAGAGGAACTTATTCACGAGAGTAAGCACACTCCAGCGAGACTTGGGGATAATACAGTCGTAAGATATTTAAACCTGGGATTTACACTTGATGCTCTGACGGTGTCACACATATCTGTCCACCGAGGGTGACAGTTTTGCATCCCACATCACAGGTAGTCGTCCAGCGATTGCCCAAAATCATCTACCCCCTTATCCTTCCAGTGACCCATAAGGATGCTCATCAAATATATTCATAAACCCTGACCCAGGCCCTGGTCACACAAATGTGGTTTGTCATCTTAGTTTCCGCAACCCCAGTCCAGAGCAGCCAACCAATCAGCATGGAGGATGGACCTATTAAGGGCAGCTCTCAGGGCACCCAGCCTTTATTGGCATACTCGCCACCCCCCCCTCCCCCCCACCTACAATACATCAGCAGGAAGAAGAAAAAAAAACAAAAAAACAGGGAAATTACATCAGCAGCCACAACACCTCAGGTGCAACCATGATGGGGATGTGGAAAGAT